GGGCTATTTAAAAAAAAAACTGCTGTGAACATTTGTGAATAACTTTTCTTTTTCTGAGTCGGAGTCTCACTCTGTTGTCCAGGTTGGAGTGCAGTGGCATGGTCAGAGCTCACCACAGCCACAACCTCCTGGGCTCACGTGATTCTCCTGCCTCAGCCTCCCAAGTAGCTGGGACTACAGGCACATGCCACCACACTCAAGCAATCCTCCCACCTCAGCCTCCCAAAGTGCTGGGATTACAGGTGTGGGCCACCGCACCAGACTTGGGAATAACTTTTCATGTAGATGTAAGTTTTCGCTTCTGCGGAATGAAGCCCAAGAGTGAAATTGCTCGGCTGTATCATAAGTATGTGCTTAGTTTTCTTAAGAAACTGCCAAATTATTTTCCAGTGTGGCCATGCCACTTTACGTTCTCACCAGTGACACATGAGAGGTTTCATGTCTCTATATCCTCATCAGCGTTTGGAATAAGTCACTGTAACTTATTTTAGCCCGGGATAGGCAGAGTGACAGCATGGTCTTAATTTGTACTTCTTTAAATGGCTAGAGACATTGACTACTTTCTTTGTTAAATTTTTTGAGCTGGAGCTTCACTCTGTCATCCAGGCTAGAGTGCAGTGGTCTGATCACAGCTCAGCACAGCCTTAACCTCCTGGGCTCAGGAGATCCTTCAGCTTCAGCCTCCCAAGTAGCTGGGACTACAGGTGCATGCAAGCACATCTGGTTCATTTTTAATATTTTTTGTAAAGACGTGGTCTCACTATGTTGCCTAGGCTGATCTTGAATGCCTAGGCTCAAGCAACCCTCCTGCCTCCGCCTCCCAAAGTGCTGGAATTACAGGTGCAAGCTGCCACATCCAACCCAATAGAATAGTTTTAATTTGCATATCTCTAATGGCTAGAGACATTGACTGTTTTTTTTTACACTTTTATTTGCCATTCATATATCCTCTGATGAAATGTCTCTTTGTATTTGCTCATTTTTCAATTGGAGTGTTTAAGTTTTGTTTGTTTGTTTGGTTGTTTTTTTTTTACAGTTGAGTTTTGAGAATTCTTTATTTTAGACACAAGTCCTTTGCTAGACATATGGTTTGCAGATATTTTCTCTCAGTCTTTAACTTATCTCTCTATCCTCTTTTTTTTTGAGTTGGAGTCTCCCTCCGTCGCCCAGACTGGAGTGCACTGACACGCTCCCAGCCACCACAGCCTCAACCTGCTGGGCTCCAGCGATCCTTCCGCCTCAGCCTTCCAAGTAGCTGGAACTACAGGCGCGCACTACCACACCCGGCTAGTTTTTGATTTATTGTAGAGACGAGGTCTTACCAAGTTGCCCAGGAGGGTCTCGAACCTGAGGGCTCAGGCAATCCACTCGCCTTGACCTCCCAAAGTGCTGGGATTACAGGCTGAGCCACCGAGCCCAGCCATCTTTTTATCCTCTTAACAAGGTATCTCACAGAGCAGAAGCTTTTAATTATTAGGAAATCCCTTTTATTCGTTTTTTTCTTTTATGGATTAAAAATTTGGGGTCAAGTCTAAGAAACTCTTACTCTAGCCTTTGATCCCAAAGATTTTCTCTTACATTTTCTTCTAGAGGTTGTATATTTTAACATTTTGCATTTAAATATATGATCCATTTGAGCTGATTCTTATTTAAGTTGTGAGACTCAGGTTGAGGGAATTTTTTTATGTTTGATGTTCCATGCTCAGCACCATTTGTTGAAAAGACATCCTTCTGTTCATTTATTTCCTTTAATTTTTTTATAATTCAAATATAGCCTAAGTTATAATATCCCGAATTATGAAAAACATATCTTATATTGCCTAAAATGTTGCCTAATCTTTCCTTCTCTATCTCCTTCTCACCCCTCCTCATCCTCTCCCATTTTTTTTCTTTTTGAATTAGGTTCTCACTCTGTTGCCCAGGCTGGAATGCAGTGGCACAATCATGGCTCACTGCAGCTTCTAACTCTTGGGCTCAGGCGATCCTCCCACCTCAGTCTCCCGAGTAGCTGGGACTATAAGTGTGTGCCACTACGCTCGGCTAATTATTTTATTTTATTTTATTTTTTATAGAGACTAGGTCTTGCTATGTTGCCCGGGCTGGTCTCAAACTCCTGGCTCAAGCAGTTCTCCTGCCTTGGCCTCTGAAAATGTCGAGATTATAGGCATGAACCATTGCACCCGGCCTCTCATTCTATTTCAGCAACAAATAATTATCGTGCCAGTTCACATCAGACATACACCACTCCTGTCCTCATGAAGTTGCCAGTCGATAGCCAAGACCTGCTGTAAACCAGTCAACAAACAAACAGATGAGAGTGCCTTGCATGGGAGAGTATCTGGCAAGGAGCTGTCTTAGGATGGGCTGTTTGCGGACAAACCCTCTGAGGAGGTGACTCCATGATGGAGACCAGAAGGCAAAAAAGAAGGCCAGCGTGTGCTGGGCAGGAGAAAGAGAATTCCAGGGCTTGGAAGGTGAGGGAGGCTGCAAGAGTGGTGTGATGTCAGGAAGGAGCTGGAGAGGGAGACAGAAACCAGCTGGAGGTGCTCTCTGACCCAGCCAATGAAAAGAGGCGACGTGATCTGTCTTGAGTCCTTGGTTTTCCTGTGTCGGACCAGGCCCCTCTATCTTTTCCTTTTTCTTTTCTTTCCTTCTTTTATTTTTGAGTCAGTCTCACTCTTGCCCAGACTGGAGTGCAGTGGTGCGCTCATGGCCACTGCAGCCTTAACCTACTGGGCTCAGGTGATCCTTCCATCTCAGCCCCCCAAGTAGCTAGGACTACAGGTGAACATACTAAGCCTGCCTAATTTTTTAAAAAAATTTTATTGTAAGCCGGGCTCGGTGGCTCAGCCTGTAATCCTGCGCCTTTGGGAGGCTGAGGTGAGTGGATTGCCTGAGCCCGCGGGTTTGAGACCCGCCTGGGCAGCGAGACCTCATCTCTACAATAAATCAAAAAATCAGCCGGGCGTGGTAGCGCATGCCTGTAATTCTGCTAATTGGAAGGCTGAGGCGGAAGGATCACCGGATCCCCAGCAGGTTGAGGCTGCGGTGGCCGGGAGCGGCCACTGCACTCCAGTCTGGGAGACAGAGTGAGACTCCAACTAAAAAAAAAAAAATTTTATCGTAGAAATGAGGCACTGCCCTGTTGCTCAGGCTGGTCTCAGACCCCTGGGCTCAGGCAATCCTCTCACCTCAGTCTTCCAAATGCTGGAGTTACAGGTGTGAGCCAACACAGCCGGCCCCTCCACCTTTTTCTCCGAGTTCATGAGGCAGAGCAGAAACAGACACAGCCTGCTGGGTATCTTCAGACAACCCGAGCCGGGCCGTTGTGACTCATAGGGTTTGTCAGTTACTCTTGTGCGCCAAGCCCCTTCCTGCCACTTTTTCCAGTAATGAGAGCCACTGGCCTGGTCAGAGGAGCAGGAGGGTGTGTTCCCAAGGATGTACGCCCTGGGGGTTGCTGGAAAGAGAGCTTTTCTGTTGTGAGGACCCTCTTGGGGTTGATGTTTCGGGATTCCACATCTGGTGTCATTAGAAAACACAGCCATAAATTAGGCTACTCAGAAGCATGGGGTGCGTAATAATTAAGTAATGAAAGTCACCACAGAGGTAAAGGAGCTGGAAAACAAAGAGCCACCGTTTGTAGATGGACCTCAGGCTGCTCTGGGAAGAGACCCCTGAGCAGAGACAGCAGTTCAAAGCATTGAATCTCTACTCTAATAGAATCCCAGCTCAGCCCAGTCCCAAAGAAAGTCACGTGGAGAGGAGAAACATGATCCCTGGAGTGTATAGACAGGGTGGGAGAGCAGGGAGTGGGTATTTAGAGTCCAACCCAGCTCTTCCTCTGTCTCTGGGACCACAACTCAAATACTTGCCGAGGTCCAGCAGATAGTGGAGCCAACCTGGTAGAAAGACAATAGGAGCTAGGCTCGGTGGCTCAGCCTGTAATCCCACACCTTTGGGAGGCTGAGGTGAGTGGATTGCCTGAACCTAGGGGTTCGAGACCCGCCTGGGCAGTGAAACCTCATCTCTACAATAAATCAAAAAATCAGCTGGCGTGGTAGCACATGTCTGTAATTCCAGTTACTTGGAAGGCTGAGGCGGAAGGATCGCCGGAGCCCAGCAAGTCCAGGCTGCGGTAGCCGGGAGCGGCCACTGCACTCCAGTCTGGGCGACAGAGTGAGACGCTAACTCAAAAAATAAATAAATAAAAATAAATAAAAAAGATAGACAATAGGAGAGGTGAAGACTAGGACAAATAGGAAACTGATTCTCAGCTTCAGCCAATGACTGCCAGATAGGAGTGCAGAGACGCACATTGTCAGATCTTACATGCTAAACATTCTAGAAAGTTATTTTTAACTGCAAAATGTTCTCATTTTTAAGTGTTGACCTTGATTTCAAAGTTTTTAAGGATCTTTTTTTTTTTTTTGAGTTGGTGTGGACTTTCACCCAGGCTAGAGTTCTGTGGCATGAACATGGCTCACCACAACGTCAATCCTCCTGCCTCAGCCTCCCGAGGTGTGTACCATCATGCCTGGCTAATTTTTTATTTTTTGTAGAGATGAGATCTCGCCATGTTGCCCAGTCTGAGCAAGAGAGTGAGACTCTGACTAAAAAAAAAAAACAAAAGTGGGGGAGGGTGAGGGGATCAACTTAGTGGAATTCTTTGCTAACACTGGCTTCAGCAGGCCCTGGATAAGGCCCAAGGGTTAGGCCTCGTCAACAAAGCTCAGAGGAGCCTGCCTGAGTTTGGTCAAAGAGGAAGTCTTTGTCACCATGTCAGGCCCAGCACTTGCAGGCACATAGGTTGTTGTTTGTTGGCTTGTGGGAGGGACCTGTTTCTTTCATGGCATTTGAGGGCTAGGAGAGAGCCTTTCCCAGGCTTGGGAGAGTGATTTACCCTGTAGCCCCCCAGATTTAGGCAGGTGCCCTGAGGGAGAGAGGGTGCCCATTGGCCTTCCCGAGGCCTAAGCTCCATCTGGACTACCTTTCTCCAGGCCTTCGACGCCCTTCTTTGATCTGCTGCAGCACCGGTACCAGCAGCTGTGGGTACAGGAACAAAAGGCCGCCCAGAAAGCCATTAAGCTGGAGAAGAAGCAGAAGGTAAATGCAGCCCTCAGTCCTGGGTGGGCCACTGGTGGGGTGGAGGAGGGAGAGAAACGGGCTGGCCAGGGCCAAGCTTGGAGACCACCGCTCTTAGGTGCTTGTCATCGGGTGGGGTGGAAAGTCAGGTTGCATCTTCTAACCAGTCTCAGAGAAATCTGGAGCTCAAAAGGGTCTTGGTAGGCCAGGCTCAGTGGCTCCTGTCTGTAATACCAGCCCTTTGGGAAGCCGAGGCAGGAAGATCACTTGAGCTGGCGAGTTCGAGACCAACCTGGGCAACATGGTGAAACCCCTTCGCTACAAAAATTGGAAAAATTATTTGAGTGTGGTAGCACGCTCCCACTGTAGTCCCAGCTCTTCCAGAAGCTGAGGCAAAGGATCACCCGAGCCCAGGAGGTTGAGGCTGTGGTGAGCTGTGTTCGTGCCACTGCACTCCAGCTGGGTGACAGAGTGAGACCCCAATTCAAAAAGAAAGA